TGGGACACCTCCACTAAAACCCTTATGGGTCTAATCCATTAGCTATATAAGCAAGAGTTTGTGTTGTTTAAATTAGCACATTCAGGCTTTTATTGTATCGCCTAAAAACGCAACAGGTCGGTGCTTAATCCCTTTAATTCTACTTTGTGTTTAATAGCTTTACTTTTATTTACAGGGTTACGACATAACTTTTAGCTCGGCCGAGTCGTGTTTTGTTTGTCAAAATAAGTTTGTTATTTGACGTGGAACTGAGAAAATGTTTTCTAAATGGTTGAGGGAATGATATCTGTAAGGTTAAGTTGTGCTGATTACAGAGGCAATGTGCTCGTTATGTCTCATTATTATCTGTAAGTGCGAATGAAATTTGTGTGTTCTAGTTGCAAAGTTTATGAATCAGGTACAAAAAAAACAACGAGTGGCATGTATCATAAATTCTTAACCAGGTCTTTTTAATGGGTTCAGATTCTCGAGCTGCTAGCATCTGTTGATATAAATAGTTTAAACAGTTTAATTAATGTATTTAATGTGCGTATTATTCAGTATTCAGTTTTCAGGATGGATGGAAAACCAACCTGGAAGTTCCTTAAAGCTGCATTCTGTCTAGTGGCCAATAGGGGGCGACTCATCTGGTTGCAGAAAGAAGTCAGACTGAATAGAAGTCTATGAGAAGATGAGGCGACTTGTTCTGGGATTTGTAACCTCAGTAAACATTTTCCTCATGAGCTGATGGTCTCACTCGCTAGTTTTACATCTTCTTCAATACGGGATGAAGTTCATTTTGTAACTCACGGCTCCAATCAGAGGAAAACAGACGATAAAGTACGTTTTAGGGCGAGTCAACCTTTTGATTGACAGGATACGATGGTGTCAAAAGCTGCCCCTTGTTGTTAGATGTGGTTTGAAAAGAGCGTGAGAGCAAAATGCCAACCCTGAGGTCACAGTCCATCTTTTAAATATCTTTTACATATAGTCTGTGATGTTCTACAAACGTTTCTGAAGCTACAAATATATATATGTGTTTACAGCTTTAGACAAGGACATCAGAAAGATTCACCATTTTCTAAGTATTGTTCTTTCCTAGAAAGCGTTGCAAGCAGAGGGAATTGGATTTATTTTAGTAGACGCTTGGCAAGTTAACAGGGCGACCTCAAGGCATCCCATGAAACAAGGGAAACGACATTTGTTTCACTTGTCGAGGGATTGACAGAACTCCCATATTATGGCTAGAATGGCCTCCGCCATTTGGTTGGCAGCTACAGAGCTCAAATATCCTCAAGCCATCCCCAGCCAGCGCCGCCGTCAGACAGGCAGTCAGTCACTTCAGGATGGCAGCAGTAGCTCCAGAGGAGGCTGTAGGCGAAGCCCAAACAAACTTTCATCTGCGTATCACAGGATTTAGAAGCAGACCCAGCAAGGGAGGGAGAGATTGAGGGATATAGGTGAAGAGAGAGAGGGATAGGGGCTTGAAAAGACAGAGGGAGAAAACACACACAACACACACACACACACACACACACACACACACACACACACACACACACACAGCAGGACTGCAGGAGTTTTGCACAAATTTAAATCCCCCTCTCATCTAACAGTAAACATCCTCGGGCTATAGCGGTGCGTGTATGTATGTATATGTCAGCGTCTGCACACGCGTGTGTTGCAGAAGATCTTCAGAAAAAAAGATCCTTTATTTTTCTGGCCTTTTTCTTTAAATATTAATTCACGACACATTTGTTGCTATATTATATCGCACTTGTTTTATTTCCTTACTTTGCTTGTTTTACTTACATTAGAGAAAAAAAAAATAAAAATCTGGACTTCAGAGGCTGCTGCTGATATTTATGTTCAAAATGAAATGAAAACAAAAATATTCTGATATGTCAAAACATAGTATGAGGTCACGATTAAGTTTTTTGCCTCAAATCTGATTTAATATTTCGTATCTGATCCCCAGGACTATTTCCCTGGGTAATACACACTCCAAGTATTGCAGATTAAGTGTCGTTTGCTGTTTTAGTTTAATTCTGTGTGGAGGTTTAGTGGGTAAAGGGGCACCATGACAAAGTCTTTGTGGTCTACGTCATGCGTCTGTGGCATAAAAGTGCAATAAAAGCACAGAACATATGCATTATAATTGTAATTGTATCACAAATTAATAAGTTAATAATTGACAATGCTGAGTACATTAAGAATAATTATTTAAAGTTATGACAGTTGTGTGAGAGTGGACATTATGATTCATGCTGATCATTTTAACATGATCAGCCCCAAAACCCTGAAATATAATAAACCTTTATAAATAAAACATAATATTTCCTGGAATCAACAGAAAACTGAGAGCATCAGCTATGCCGGTGTATTAGTCAGGATCTATGAGTCACTAATTTCAAACACATAAATGCAGGTCTTTGTGAATTTCTGTGTTTTTTCATGTTACGTGTGCATCATCTGGAAGGTGTGATCGAAAAGTTCCAATACTGCTCGTAACGCTTGTGCACAGAACGCATCACTTATTTCTAATGTCTCTGCGAACCTTAGAGTGAAGCAGAGATTAAATATCACGTTCTGTGTGAGCTAGTAGTCTGGATGCTTCCATGTGGAGGATCATCACTGGTGAGGAGAGGTGGGTCTGCAGCTACCACCAGGAGAAGAAACAGTTTTTCAGTGGAAGAGCTGCAGTTTCTATAATGAGCGGCATTTTCTTTGACCACGGACCAAAGTTCTGTCACTGTAGGACTATAACGTCCTACTGCGGAGAACAGTTGGTGCAAATAACCTGAACTGTGGTGCTTTCGGAGCATCTTTTTTTCGACTCCACATCCGACTACATCACCAGGTTTGAGTCCCTGCAACTGTTTCCTCTTCCTCGTGATACGTCCAGCAAGTTCATTTTGTCTGCTCTGAGTTAGTACTTAGGTTTCGTCTTTTCAGACAATAGAATTTAGGAGATGGTTCTTCATCTGACATGTTTCGACTGGAACTTCAGTCTTCCTCAGAGGCTGATCGGCGTGACGTGTCGTTTATTTGGTGTTCCTTGTGGGCGTGGCCAATCTGACAGATGTGTCAGTTCTGTCAGATTGGCCACGCCCCACCGCCGCCCGCAGGAGAGAGTCCCAAGTGTGTGATAGCATGAAGGTGCCTTCATCCCGGTTGATCGCCCATAAGGAAAGCCAAATAAACGACACGTCACGGCGATCAGCTGACGCCTCTGAGGAAGACTGAAGTTCCAGTCGAAACATGTCTGGTAAAGAACCACCTCCTAAATTCCATTGTCTAAGAAGAAGACACCTAAGTACTGTTTCCTCTTCCACATGATGCGATTCAGGTTGAAGAGCTGCTGTATCGGCACAGTTTAGAGGATTTAGTGCTCGTGTTTACATGGCAGGACTTTCAGGCGCTGCAGAAACGCTGGGAGCTCCTGTGATGGTGGACAAATTCAAATCAGGTACGGTTTTAGATTTTTTTCCTTTTGTAGGCACAGTTTTGTAACTTTTTGATCACACTTTATAAATGTTTGGTTACTCCTTGAGCTCATGCTCTGCGAGTGAGTGAGTGAGTGAGTGAGTGAGTGAGTGAGTGAGTGAGTGAGTGAGTGAGTGGGAGTTTGTGCCAGATCGTGGTTGTGTGTTTATTTGATTCTGACCGTAATGTTTTCATGGGTTCGTAATATCGTCTCCATAAAGGGAACATCTGTAGGAGACTAAACACCGCCGTGCATGTTCGTTTTCTCTCCGATGAGTGCGACGGCGACGGCTGTTGTTTTCTAATAGTGCCACTTTCTTACCGCTAAGAAGTCATTTCTGGTGGGGTCAAACAGCCTGAGGGGGGCTATTATGGGGAAGAAGTTCAGACATGTTCCGCTCAGTTAGGACTCTGCTGCAGATTTCGGAGGAAATTTCCTGATGCTTTGAAGACAGCTGGAGAGGCTGGGGGGAGGTTTTTAGAAATTCTCTGCAGGGATTTGCAGGTGAGCTCAGGGCAGCAGAGTGCATGTGATTGCACAGGTATGCCGGGATGTGTGTGTTGAAGTGTGTGTGTGTGTGCGGCCCGTACGTGCTTGTGCATGTATGAACAGACAGCTATAATAGCTCCTCATTAGAACTGGTTAATAAGCAGGAAATGGCCACTTGGTGGAGAAGATAACAGTGAATTACATTGACCTTTTAGGGTGAGACACTTTAAGAGACAGACCGTGCAAACAATGCAGATGAAGTCCGACTGAAATTTCCACTCGCTGGAGTCGGTGCGGCCAGACAGCATACAGCACACGCTCGCTAACGAGGAGAAGTGCTTCGCCATAGATTGAGTATTAATTACAGTGTCAATATTGGGTCCCACATTAAAGGAACGTGCACGGAAAGTTTAATGAGTGCTGTGTTTTAGCCATGATGGAAAATGTACAAAGACTGCGTAATGAGGATGTTGAGTAAAGTTTTTTTTTTTGGCATTAGACACACATTGACAATATAAATTCATGAGGCAGAGCACCTCGTCAAGCACGTCACGTGTGGTTTTGGAAGAAAAATAACGTTTTATTAAAAAGAAATGCATGTTTTTTTTAGCTAATAGCATTTTTTGCAAGCTGCTGGACGCAACGGTGTGAGCGTATAACTCATCTGTTTTTGCATTTTACATCACCTTTACTTTTAATCCACCTGCCAAATGACATGTAGCAGCTGCAGGGCTGCTGTTTGTCTACCGAGCATCAGATCAGCGTCTCTGGCAGGTCGTCCTGTACAGCTGTTATCATGCAGCGTAAGTAGCCAGCAGGTGAGACGTGGATATGGCCAAGGGGTGTTTTTTTTTTTATATATATATATATCACAAATCAGAACATCCTGCAGGTTTGAAAAATATCTGGACATTCAAAAAAGGTTCTCAAGGAGTTCAACCGTGATACACAGGATGCAAGAAAACATGACAGTCAAAACGTAGGCATCAAAGAAGAAATAATGGGTTGAGAAAGGAGTCACTCCTGGTGTGAAATCTCTACTTACAGGTAATAAGAGTAGGAATAAGCATGTCTTCTGAAGCATGGTGAGGTGAGGCCGATGATGACAACAGAGCAAAACCCAGAAGAAGGACAAACACATTGGATTAGTTCATGGTTTGAATGAAAGAATTACTCCTGTTGGTATTTAAAACTCGTCTATGTGTCCTCATATGAAAACTTTTACTGTCTCTTAACTTTGTTTCTCTGGATTTTGTTTTATTTTTTGTACACTTGCTGACCTATCAGTCTGACAGTTTGACAGAACAGGAAGTTTATCTCGTTGTGTGCCCATGTGCTTTTCTCTTTTGTCTCTCTCTGTTGTCTGTCGAGTCAATATGTTTGTCTACATCTGGTCTTTACTTTTACAAGCCGGACATGCAATACGCTCTTAAAACAGCTAAAACACTCTCTCTTCATAAATCAGCTGTAAAGTGGTCAGTAGTTAATCAACCAAATGAGAGGAATAAGGAGGTCTGCGACATGTGAAACGATCACTTAACCCGTCAAAGAAATGACAGAGCTTCGCCTGTTATTAGCTATTAGGAGCGATCGCTATCTATCCATCCAGTGACAGAATTATTTTAATCGTCTTACACCTTTAGTTTTGTAAAGTAAATCAAGATAGCTCAAGAAGAGCTGTTATTTTATGTATATATCCTAACTTTGAAGTCCATTTTTTTCCCTTTTATTTAAAATTTAAGGTTCGCATGAAACTAAATTTTAATTTATTCCTCAAAAAAGGTCTTCCTACGACGTTTAGCGTGCATGCTAATGTGTTAGCACGGAGCTTTATTTACCAGGTTCACGTGGGTATTTTATCATCACGCTACGGATTACCAACGCTAAACATTTGTTTAACCTGTGGGTTTCCCAATAACACATGAATGCTTGAGTAGGAAAAATAAATAAAAATCCACTTAAGAGACGCCACTGATGCCTCCATCACCAACAGGCTGGTCAGCAGACAGACGTGGGATGAGGAGGAGAAAGAAAAAGGTAGAAGATGGAAGAAGAGGGACAAATGGAAGCGAGGAGGAG